TATATATATATATTAATTGATGAGTAGTATTTCGAACCAAAAGGAGCCGAACAAGAACGAACAAATTTTGGTTCGTGTTCGGCTCGTTAACTTAGCGAATGAGCCTAACACAAGCTCCTTAACGAGCCGAACAGGAGTTGTTGGCGAACAACGAGACATTTTGACAGCCCTAGATGAATATCATCTCAATAACAACAATCCACACATACGAATACCGCAAGTAATATTTGTTGCTCTTTTAATTTACTTTGAAATTAAAAGGAAATTGAGTAATTGTTGTTATGATAGGTTTACGATAGCGGGAGAAGAATAAGGCACGGCAAGGGAAATGAAAGGGAAGAAGCCAAGGAGGAGTTTATAAGGAACATGAAGCTATTGGAAGGTGAGCTGGGAGAGAAGCTCTACTTCAATGGAGACAGATTTGGATTTTTGGACATTGCTCTTATTACATTCTCTTGTTGGATCCACACATATGAGACATTTGGGGGCTTTAGTGTGGAGAAGGAATGCCCTAAGCTGATGATTTGGGTGAGGAGATGCATGGAAAGGGAGAGTGTGGCAAGGACACTTCCAGCTCCTCTAGAGGTCTATGTCATTGCCTGCATGGTGAGGAAGAAACTAGGGTTTGAGTAGTATGCAAAGGAAAAATGTTGTGCTGCAATTTATTGCCTTTTTGTTAATGTGTTTATGATTTGAATGGTGTTGACATTTTTAAATAATCATTTAGCAAGTTATCAAGTTTTTATAGGGGGTTATTTGGGTTGGTTCACTTAAAATTTTATTTTTTATTTAATTTTGTTTATATTTTTATATGAAATAAAGTATATTTTGTATGTTATAACATGTTTTAGTTGTTTTAGAAACACTCAAAAATAATATCTAGGAATCCTCCCTTGTATAATACCGATAAACCTATTTATACAGGGTTAGCTTATATATTATAAATAATATATTACTATACATGAATACTAAGAGATCTTTAATCTATCATGTATTTTTTCTATTGTGTA